AGGCAGTGTCCAAAATCCTTTCTACCCAAATTTTATCTAAAATGTGTTTGAACTCCGAAATACTTCCAAACTTCTACAACATACCCTATTACCTCAACTAATATTTTTATTTCTACTCTTAAAATCTACATATTTCATGCCTACATCATTACATATATTAGCATTTCAAAACATAATTGCGTTGGTATATAAAGATAAGAATATGAGGGTTTACAAATACTTTCCACAAAAGATTTGAGTAAACAGTTTTATAAAATTTAGCTTGAAAGCTCAATAGTTCAACAATTCACCGCTTTGACTAACACCCATAAATTAAAATAAAATCAACAGTATTCACACTCAATCAAGTTAGTCAGAATATGGATAAATCAATTTATTGCATAACATTGAATATGAAATTGAGATTGAAAATCCAAGTCCATCACAGAACTGAATAAACCTACCATAGCGTTGCCTCAGACGCCCGAACAATTATAAAAGATTAAATAGTTTAACTTTTTAGTGGCAATTCAAAAGTAAGTTAATAAGACCAATGCAAGTGTTAGAACTTGATCTGAATATAATTAAATATAAACATTAATCCGAAAAATTCTATAAACATGAAATTGAGAAGAATTATCACACTTACCTCGAATATCGTTCAAATAAAAATAACAGTAGATTTCATTCCGTGAATAAAGTACTCAGCTTGGATTAAAGTGCGGACTAGGTCGCTCTCTTTAAGACGGTTCGTGCCTCTATGGATAATATTTTCGATGTAGTAGATTATAACACGCCGTTTCTAAGTTGCAACAGCCCAGCTATTAACTGTAACCTCTCTAAGTCTACATAACCTTGAAAAGTAGAAACTTCACACACCTTTCTTTGCCCAAAATAATATAACATAATGTACACCACAAAAAGAGAAAAAAAAGACATATATATTTCATTATTTGTCACCTACACAAATGACAAATAGAACATATATATAGGTTTATGGAATATATAACTCATTATCCACAATAATTGACACATTAACTCATATTAGGGATACAACTCAGGCGGGTTGAGCGGGTTGGACAATCAACCCTAGTCCAATCCTAGGTTTATAATCTTCAACCCTAACTCAAACCCTACCTCGGGTTGGGGAACTCAACCCAAGCACTGCCCGAATTTAATTCGGGCAGGCTTGAGTTGAATTCGGGTTGATGATTTCGAGCTGATTTTGGGTTATTTTACGGGTTCAATTCGGGTAGAGTCCAAAATAAGCTTGTTGTTCTAAACCTAATACATATATTACATAATATTCACCTAAATTAACAACCAATAACTTCAACCAAGTTTTTAACGAGAGTGGCTAAGAGAACGAGAGAGGAAAAGAGACCGAAAGAGACAGAGAACGATAGAATAAAAAATGAAAAACCAATGTTAATGTTTTATTTTTATATATATATATTTTTTTAATTTGTCGGGTTTGGGTTGAACTCAGGTTCACGAGACCTTAACCTGAGCTTAGCCCAAATTAAATTCGGTTTGAAATTTTTTGACTCAAGCTCAACCCAAATATTAAAAACTCTTGTTGAAGCTCTAATTTTTTCGAGTTAGACTCGGATTAAAATCGGGTTGCCCAACTCAAGTTACACCCCTAACTCATATCATAAAACTCAATTATTTTTATCTTTGTAATTTATTGACCAAATTCAATGTAATGCTCACCACAATAATTCTCATATGTAACTTATAGATTACTAAATTTCACCATTATAATTCTCATTATATAGATACTGATGGTTAAACTTGTAACTCATGTGGCTTATAAATATATAAATAAATTTATATAATCAAGTCAAAATGAAGATGAAATTATTCTGCTAGAAAATAGATAAATAATAAAGGCTACTTTATTTTATAAAAATATTCCAACAGCAAGTATAGAAATAATTTGAGTGTGATAAACTATTTCAGCATGGGTAAAACGATCAAATTTGAAACAATATGCAAACGATGTCGGATTTCGACAAGCCACCGATCGTTGGAAAGCTCGTGACATGAGAATTCCATAGCCACCAACCAAAGCCCCAGCAGAGCTCCCACTTGTTCTCATGCGTTGTTGGGAGTTACTGCCCAAACACCCCTTTCTCATTTCTCTCCGTTTTTGACACCCTCACCTTCTCTCTTGCATAACTCGCTCATTTCTCATTCAAATTGAGTGATTCAAAATCTTAGTAACCCCTAACTTAGCCCTCTTTCAAGCGTAAGTGTTGGTTTAAGCTTCCCAGTTCCAGGTTATTACAGATTCCTATGGACAAACCTACAAATCATGTTTTGACCACCCAAACATCCAAATTTTCTCAAATCAGTTCCAAAAAATAACTTCTTGCCCCCAAAAACAGGGCCGCCCAAGAAAATATAAGGTCTAAAGCGATAAGTGTTAGTTAGGCTTTATTTTTATTTTTATTAAGATTCAAAAATTTTAATTTAAAATTTAATTTTTTTATTTTTTGATATTAAAAATTACTAATCAAATTTTTTTATCCAAATTATGCAAACATATTTTTTGAATTGATAGTATGACATTTGAGCATAAATATTTTGATAGAATTATAATCGATTACCTCATTAATATTTTTGTATTCTTCTTATTTGTTTTGTATATGTTTTACCGAAATTATGGTATTACATGATTGAGTATTATTAAAAATACATTTATTTTTATCTTTTTGTTGAATTATTTCACTATTTTTCAAGGATCTTTTACTTGCTTTATGTTTGCAACTTTTAATTAAATTTTTGTTATATTTTATCTGATACAAGTAACAACTTTATAAAAAAAAAATTTGAACTTAAATAAGTTTTGGGTCCTTTATGAAAATGAATAGTTTGGTTGGTGCTTTGTGGTGAAATAACAGCAAAATAAAGTTTGAGACAAATAGATAATGTATTGGGTTTGTTTTTATTTTTGTATAAGAGAGAGAAAAATTAATCCTTATTATATTGTTTTTAACAGTAGAAAGTTAAGAAAAGCTTGATGATGTGAGATTTTCTTGTTTACTTTTTTTATTCATTAACAAATTTGATTGTGTAAAGTGAGTTGAACTTTAGGCCTAAATTTTAAAATTATTTTTTGTTAGTTTACTCTTTCACGAGCCTTTTTATTGGACTATTGTGTATTAAATTTTAATTTTTGACCTATGCTATACTATCAAACTCTTAAATTTAGTGCCTTACTTATATTTGGGGCCAAAGCCCATCTTTTTTTTCTTCTACTATTGAGCCGGTAGTGCCCAAAAACATTGGACATGACCCTCCTTCAGACCTAAAACCTTGTTTGTGAAAAACCCATTAAATCTAGTTTAAGCCATATCCTAGGGTTGATATTTTCTCACTCCACACACCACGGCTACTTCTGAAACTTAAACCATGCACTCTATGAAGTAGTACAAAGCTAACCCCTAGCTTGGTTTTGAAGAATGATGCATAGTTGCTGAAATCCTAGTTGCAAGGTTCGAGTTTCTCTCTCTTCCTTCTTTCTTCTCTCTCTTCGGTTTCTCTTCTTCAAGTTGAAATTTCTTGTTGATCTGATCCGTGAAGCACCTCCAGCCTTATAAGACCTCCAACCACCTCACTCATCATTTGCATGGCTGAAGAAGGCTTGGTGAAGACACCTTAACCTTTTTAGGTGGAAGAAAAATATTGATGGCATTTTCGTAATTTCTGAATTTTAGATTTTTTTGTTTTTTCTTTTTTTTGTATTTCAATCAAAGTATAAACTTATAATTTTATTGGACGGTTTTACCCGTGATTTCGCATCAACTACTTCATTATACCTTTCCAAACACCAATCGCCCCTCATTTTTGGGTTAATCACAAATGTACATTTCGAAAGATCATTGAAATTTCAATTTTATGTCTTCAATGATAAAAAATTTTAATTTATACATTCAAAGATATAAATTTGTATTAATGTGCACATGAAAGTAACACCCGCATATTGGCCGTTTAAAATTAGTTGGATAAGTTACATCTAGATCCTTCAAGTTTGTCATTAAATCATTTGGATTCCCTCATCTTTAGCTATTACTTTTCAAGTTTGTCACTAAATCATTTGGATTCCGTCATATTTAGCTATTACTTTTACACGTCCCGATGTTTGTGCACATATAACACATAACCTTTTGTCGTTGATATTTGTTAATATAATTATTAAAAAATATAATTTTATGCAAATAAAAAATTATAATTTACATACTACATTTTATTTTGTGGATCCATTATACTCTAAAGTTTAAAATCAAGTATATCATTTGAATGTCCAATATATTACAGGTATGTATGTAATGTTCTTTATATCCAATATAATACATCAATTGAACAAAATTATTTAAATGTCCAATTGAAAAGATATTTTTAGTCATATCGAATTCTCAAGAAATGTAGGTGTAATATTTCAAATATAAAGGGTTTAGATGATTAAGTAACAAACATGAGAGTGTTTAGATATAATTTATCCATATAATTTTAGACGTCAGACCATTAACTTCAGGTGCGCATTAATAAAAATTTATATCTTTGAAGGTGTATTAAAATTTTTGATATTTAAAAGCGAAAATTAAGATTCGAACATCGAGTGCAATTTGCGTTAACCCCTCATTTTTCCCCAAGGTTCTGCCTAATAACTTTATTAGACGGCATTATCTTTTTTGCGTTCCTGTACATTTTTGAACTGACTGCATCACTTTAACTAATCAACCATTCTTATTTCACATTCCAACCAAAATTCAGGCATGATCCACTTGTCTAATGCTAAGTTTGGAATGGTGTCGGGCGAGGGCGCCACTATGCCCCGCTATACAATCTTGGTTTTGGGTCGGAACAGTTTGAGCATGTGTATAGTAGTGATTGACACTTCAATCATTTATGTAAAAAATTTAGCATTTTGTTTATATAAACATTTAACAAGAATTAAATATTTTAAAAATTATATTAACAAAATTAATATACTCAGAATTAACTTGATATAACGCGCATATTTTAGACACAAAAATTAATACAAACCCTTCTTTATATGCTTGCTGGTTGCTACCTTAAAATAAATACAGATCCCGATTCTCTCTATTTCAAGTCTCTTCAATTTCAGTCATTTAACCACTTGGTTAAAATATTTGGATCCTATCCATTCAAGGACCCTTCACAAAATGGAATCCAATCCACCATAATTTTGCGATAATTTTGAAAAAACTGTCTGGGAAGACATTGTGAACAAAATATCTGTCATATGCCAATATAGTTTGCGTTTAAGCCCACTTGGCTACAAGGGACATGCAACCACAGCCCAGAAGAAGTGAAAGATTGGCACCAAATTGGAGCTTCAAATTGCTTTGCATTCTAGGGTTCATGAAGTCCGCTGCGAGGAGGTCGACGAGTGCCATGTATATCAATATTCCGGCAGACGCAGAATTGAGTATGCCCTCTACAATGAGAGCCGTCGGGCTATTCTCATTATATGTATTTGAGATTGCAAAGCCGATCAGGATTCCGACCGGGGTGGTAAGGGAAAAGAAAATTGCCATAATTGTGATGACTCGGGCGTTAAATTTGGCCTGTGAAAATAATTAAAATTGGAATAAAATAGCAGCCACGTTATTAATTAATAAATGCTACAAAATTACACCTCTTTGACATGAGTAGCAGGACAATGTTCTGCCACTTCTAGTGGGTACAATCTTGGACCGACATAAGAAAACCAATCAAATATGGCTTGAGACCAGATAAACCTTTTCTTATATAAAGTGAATAATTATTGTTTTAGATCTCCATACACAATTGGCATCCTATTTGTCTGTGGATTCGGAATAAGGGTATGCTTAGGCTTTATTCCAGTATTGCTCAAATTCAGTTCAATTTCGAAATTATATGATGATAGTGGTCGCTGAGCAATATATTATGCTGAATTGAAGAAAGGTATTACCTGAGAAATGCAGCCTCCAAGACCCATGCCTTCAAAAAGCTGGTGGAAGGTCAATGCTCCTACAAGTGGCTTTATGGTTTTGGGACTGCCAGAGGCACCCAACGATATGCCAATGATAACAGAGTGAACGACAATTCCCAACTCTAAAACCTATTCAATCAATTAGACGCACACCATTGTTAACTGAAAAAGAAAAACAGAAAGAAACAATAAACCAGCTGATTTGCTATTTGGGTAATTCATCACACGAAACCTTCCACAACAATTATAAATAAGCATTTATAGTTTTTTTCTTCTTTTTCTTTTTTTTTTCCTTTTCTGTTTGGGCATGGAATTGATAGTAAACTTTTGGATTGAAATTTCAAAAACTACCTGTGATATAATCCGATGCCGAATCAAATCGGATGAACCCAAATTCTCCTCTGAAACAAAAGCAGACCCATGAGCATGACCATGAGTGGCATGAGTGTGAACATGGAAGTGACCTTCATGCTCATCCTGCTTCTCTTCATCTCCATTTACCGGCTTTGCCTTATTAAAATGCGACCTCTTATAATAACTCGTCGCAAATGAGTCCACCATCAGTGTCCCAATAGCAGAAACCATTGCGACGAAACCCGAAAACGGAAAATTCCCCCAAGGGTTAGTAGGAAGGCAAGGGCTTGTCAAACTATCAAACGCGTCTGGTAACACATGGACGAAGCCCGTGGCAAGAATGACACCAGCCGCAAAAGCCTTGATGATGAAGAATATATCTTTTTCAGGGTTAAAGGCGGGGAATATTTTCCCCAAGATCGGAAGAGAGACCCCACTGGCACTAGCAATGAGGATTGATGCTATGGCTACCAGTTTGTATTTCAGAGCTTCGGTTCTGTTCCGGTCCTCGGCCTCAGACTCACATGTGCATTCAGAACAGACCAACATAGGAAGGAGAAACAGAAGAAGAAGAATAGCGGAGATTGTAAGCTTATTCATGACTTTGTTGTGTCTTTGTTGGTGGGTGTGTCACAAAAGTATGATATACAGATGGTTGTGAATGATATGTGTCTATTTATAGGCATAATTTATATTAATATATACGTGGAGATATAAAAATATTTAAAAGGTTTACGGTATTAAAAAAAATTTCAATATGATCTCTAAAAATAATTTGTAGTTATATATTTTCAATTGGTTTATTTGTAGCTATTAATAAAAAAATAAATTGATATAATAAAATAGAAAAAATTTATGTGTCACATTCATATTGGATAAAAAAAGAGGTCGATTCTCTAATATATGTGTGTTTATATTTATTATATATAGTGGACAAAATAGTAGTCTTTATGATGGCTAGGACTTTCTTATATTCACAGAATCAGTACAGGGAAGGGCAGAATGGCGACATGCAGACTCCTGCAGTATTAAACAGGAGAGGACAGGTGTTGGGTGGTTCTGGTATAATGACGACATTATGAGTTAATGCAATGTTAACTATGAGGGCAAACTTTTTGACTAGGGAAATAGGAGCGGTATTCAAGTGAGGAAAGGTTAATCGCACAGTCACTGCTGGCTCAATAGAAGGAATAAAGTATGGGTTTTGGGCCCAAGTATAAGTAAGGCCTTAAATTTAAGAGTTTGATAATATAGTATTTTTTAAAAATAATAAAAAGTGAAAAATGGAGTTGAATCTTCTTAGATGAACTTATAATAATTTTAATCCGTCAAGAAAACTTATTTGATAATAAATCTTTTTTTTTATCTTACTAATAAGTACTTAAATCCACTATTATTTTAAATTTCAAAACTATCTTTAACATTGTTATTTTGTTCAATTATAAAAACTTTAAAGATTTTGAAAGTAACTTTAAATCATTTTCTTAAATTAGAAACTATTATCCCTTAATTTATTTCTAAGTTGAAATTTAAATTTATATTCTCTCTCTCTCGTTAGAAGCAGATCATCACTCAAGTATCACAAATCTTTCTCCTTAGATATCATTTATTCTTCTGTAGCATTAAAATTAGTAGGGTTTGGAACATCATCAACAATTACCATATCTTCTATTGCGTTCTGGTCATCATGGATTTCTATGTCGTTGATTTTCGAAAAAAAAAAAAAAGAGATATAGTTCAGATATAGATAGATATGAGAGAAAAAATATTTTCATATTAGTTAAACTCTTAAATTTTAGGATTTTTTAATTTTTAGTTTTATTTCACTTCAAAAGAGAAGGAATAGTTTGGTAAAATTGACAAAAAAATAGATTTAATAACAAATAAGTTTCCTTAGCGGACTTAAGTCTAAATAAATTCATATAAGGGGATCGACCTTCAAATTTCTCAAATAAAAATTCAATACAATTTAATCCAACAAAAAAGCTCAGAAAGAGTAAACTAACAAAAAATAATTTTAAAATTTAGGCCTAAAGTCGAATTCATTTCACATAATCAAAATTGTTAAAAGATAAAAAAAATAAAATAACAAGAAAGTCTAACTTCACCAATCTTTTCTTGAGTTTCTACTATTAAAAACAATATAGTAAGGGTCATTTTTTCTCTCCCTTGTACGAAAATAACAAGAAGCCCAATACATTCTCTACTTTTTTCAAACTCAATTTTGTTATTATTTCACCACAAAACACCAACCAAACTATTCATTCTCATAAATGATCTAAAATTGATTTAATTTCAAAAAAAAATCTTTTAATAAAATTGTTACTTGTAACAAATAAAATATAACAAAAATTTTATTAAAATTTGCAAACATAAAACAAGTAAAAGATTCTAAAAAAATATTGAAATAATTCAATAACAAGATAAAAATAAATGTATTTCTAATAATACTCAATAATGTAATACCACAATTTCGGTAAAACATAAACAAAACAAATAAGAAGAACACAAAAATATTAATTATGAAATATATTATAATTCTATCAAAATATTTATGATTAACCCTAAAAAGTACAGAATTGAATTAGGGTTTAGAGTTAATAGTGTACGTTAATTGAATTAAAATGATTAATTTGAGTTATATTGTGGCTAATGTTGAACCTCGGCACCCGAGGAAGTGAGCTATGAAACTTGAACTTTAGACACTACAGTCCCATCCGCCCTCGGAGCAGTAAGAACTAAGATCTCAACCTTCTTCTCAGCACTTGGCACCTCCTTCTCCTTATCTGAAGGGGGAACAAATTCAAAATCTAGATCCGGATACTTCTCCACAACTTGGTCTTGAAAAACAAGCTACCCAATAGCCTAGTTGGTGGTAGCTTCATTCTCAAGCTTTGACCTCCAACTTTGATATATATTGGATCTTGAAATGGTCATGTGATGACATGATGTTAGGTTATATGACATACAAGGGTATTTTTGCGAGTTAATGGGTGCTCAACAAATTGAGAAAGAACCCTCAGATTTTGGAGCGTCACAGGCTTAACCTAGATGTGTAAAAGCCTCTTCCTATTTATAGGTCTAGAATAAAGATAGTCTTACATGTCATTTGGTAATTATGTGTTTTGGTTTTTTTTTTTCACAAAAAAAAAAAAACAGTAACGTGTTTGAAGGGTGTTTTTATTTTTTATTATTTTTTTGTGTTGGTCTATTTTCTAAACAACCCTAAATTTTGAAAACACCAAAATAGGTGTTTTTAAAAAACACGAGAAAATAGAAACACGCATGCCCCTTGGAACCATTTAATGAGATCTAGCATTCAAATGCCATTAATAGCAAAAAAAAAAAGGGTTTGTTTTTGTTCCAACTATAAAAGCATTGTTTACCCCTTTTTGCCTCTTCTCTCTCTTGTTCATCTCTCTCACTCTCTCATTCATCTTTTTCATGAAGCGTGAGACAAAAGAGCAATGAAACAGCTATCAAATGGAATCAAGTTTTTAAGGTCCAATTTCAAGGTCAGATTTCACTCTCTCTTTTTAGCTCCCCTCTATGGAATCAAATTTTTAAATTTGGGTTTGTTATATACATAGAGATCTATGAATATATTGCTATATTTGGTTAGATTTGGGTGTGAATGTGTGTGCGTGTGTGTGTCTATATATATATATATATATAATTTGTATATACATGTACTAATAATAATCCGTGTCTAAAGGCACTATATAACACAAATAAAATTGAGCATCAATTGTATCAAGATTTAAAACTAATCTAAGGACACTACTTTTAAAAAAAAAAAAAAAAAATTGGCAAAATTTCCTCTACAATAGTTCACCAAAAAATAAAAAAACCTACCCAATTTATATATTTTGTACTCTTACCCAAAAACCTGTAATTAATTTCAACTTCAAAATGTGAATAAAATTGAAAATTTTTATTTACACAATCATATATTACCAGAAACCACATCTTAGTCACATTTTTCACATGCATAGAACTGGAATGCTCAAAAAGGATGTTGGTACCAATAGTATAAGCTTGTTGAAATGGGTTTCAAGCTACTAAAAAATTATAGCAACACAACCACTATTCATTTCCATCAATCATTTAAAACTAAGTGCATCAAAATTTTATCAATCATTCAAAGATTCAAAAAACCTTGACATAATGAAAAAAAAATGCATCAAAATTTTATAAAAAAAGCGAGTTTTAAATTGAGAGAAAAATGACAACACATAATTTTGTGATTGAAAGAACTAATGCGAATAGTTCATTGTCGAACATATAAAAATTAATAGCAGTAATATGGTTGATATGCATTGATGTCCTTGGCAATAATATTCCATTCCTACATGTACATATTCATTCACGTTCAAAGCAAAAGAAAGTATGCCCGTTCTCATACCCACTATTCAATTACACCTTGAGTTGTTGACTGTGGCCAAACAAGAATTACTAAGAGCTAAAACACATACCCAAAATTATGTTCAAGCAAACAAAAATCACCTCTTTAATTCATTGTAGGAGCAAAAACCATAGCCACAACTAATAAAAACACATGCACACACATCCCAAGATATTCAATCTAAGTAATACAATTAAGATTATGTAACACTCCGCATTTTCTTTTATATATGTATATAGATATATAGTAAATAATTGTTGTAAAAATGGGGATATGTGTAGTGATGTGTGTTTGAATTTGGTAGAATGAAAAAGGGATGAACACTGCACTGGCTGTAACATCAAGCTCGATTTCGACCTTGATGCAGTCCATATCTCTCAAAACTTAAAACATGAAATTTGTAGAGCTCTCTCTTAGGATTCCATATCACCTTGAATCATCTCAATCGGAACTAGGAGGAAGGATTTATGTCCATATTACGAAGTAGTGTCTACACTGTCCAAAAATTTGTCCGGCAGACTACCTTTCGCTAATTTCATCATAACTCTTTATTGGAAAGTCTGAATTGTGCACCGTTATTTTTGTTAGAACCCTAACTCGTATATCTTTCCAACCATATAGGTTACACCTCCTAGAAATACCTGAGTCAAATCAATTTATTCTATGAAGTTGACCAAAAATCTGCACTATGGTGCTCCTTGGATAGTAAAGGGTTGTGCTTTCTTATTAGACCTTGAAGGTGTAAAACCCCATATGTTTACATTAATATATTAATGTACTTGTTTAGTGATTTTTCTATATGTAATGACTTAAGAATAAACCATATATATATTAAAATCGTAAGGATATCACCTATAGTAGTTCGAAGGAATAAATTAGAAATTTTAATGTTCCAAGTGTGAATTTATTTTAATTTTGAAATAAATCATAAAAAGCAATGTTTTTAGGTTAAAATAACATTAAAAATGAATCCGGAAACGTCGAAAAACCTTAGGGTAGTCGTATGGATCAAATTGGAGATTTCTAGTGGCAAAACTGTAATTTTGAAAAAAAACTCAAAATTCAGCCATGAACAGTGATTTGTCGCGGACTGCTGTGTTTAAAACACAGAATTCAGCCAATTTCTTCCATTTTTTCTCACATCTCTCACCCCCAAACCCCTTAGCACCCTTGGGGAAGATAAAGGAAAGGATGAAAGGGAGAAAGGAGGTCATTAGAG